CGTGTGCGTGTGTGTTCTTTAGATCCTCAGATGGCTCTAGCACTTTCGTGACCACGGGCTGAGAGTCTTTGCTAGATTTTGGCATTTAGCAACTGGCATACGGTTTAATGTGAAGTCAACAACAACAACAACATATAATAATAATAATAATATTATTATTATTATTGTTATTATTATCATTATTATTATTATTATCATTATTATTATTATTATCATTATTATTGTTATTATTATTATTATTATTATTATTATTATTATTATTATTATTATTATTATTATTATTATTATTATTATTATTATTATTATTATTATTATTTCTCCCATCATCGGATTCTGTCGTCTGCCCCTCTGGCCCCTATCCTCTACTAGCTAGACGACCCAACCGGGGTCATATAGGAGGGGGGGGCTGGACCCCCTCCTGCGGTTCCTGCCTGAGGTATTTTTATCGCAAGAAGGTTACAGCAATCCCTTCCCTCGCGACTTCGTAAGTCGCGAGGGTAGATTTCTACACAACAGGCCTGGTCAGGCACCAAAAGCCTTCTCGCTTGCGTTTTATTGGCCAAAAACACGTTGGAAAATCGGTCATTGCACGCTGGGCTCCCATCTCATCGCCAGAGCAACCAGAGGTAAACCAAAAAGACACCGTGCTTCCAGCGAGAGGGCTTCGTTAGGCAGCGCTTTGAAAGACTTGTTCGAATCGACGAGTGGGAAAGCTCTGACTGCTTCCCATTGACGGTGTGCACCATTGCAACCGACAAGAATCGAAACATGCGCAGCCAGAATACCGAGTGGAACAGCAGGAGACAACAAGTGGATCCGATCGGGAGGTGCTCACTGCGTGCTTGACGTGTGGCTACGCAATTGTTTTCGTCGCACACGATGCCTGCAGCCGACATGGAAGACTGGGATTGCCATAGATAAACATCGGGAACACACATACCACTTTGTGGTCAGCCTGTGACCACGGAAGGCATTCGCTTCATTAATCGGAAGACATCAACTATTACTGACGACTGCATGGAAGTGCGTTGTTCACGTTGCCTTTGAAAGAGAACACTAGTCCACAACACATTGCAGTACCGCCCTCGTGAAACGTCGATATACCATCGCCTTAAAAATGCAGGGGAATGTTCAGGTGGCTGAGGTACACACCCATACAAGAGCGAAGAAGCTGTTGGTGGTGATACTCCATCCTGCGACGCAAGATATCACGATCACTGATGATATAATCTAAGTTGCTGAGATTCAACCAATTCCAATACGGCGGCACCAACGGTGTTGGGATATGCTCGTTACGGTCCAAAGATCCGCATGTTGTCTGCACCCCGTTCACTTTCGAGGCGACGGGGTTGAACGCTCCAGACGCTCTTCTTTTTGCAGCCATACTAAGGACCAACGAACAAAAATGTTGCTCACAGTTTGGCCGGGGCGCTATCGATACGAAGATGTAAGCCAAGAGACACGGGAGAGTTTTGTGATGAAGGGAAACTCGCGGCCACGCAGATCATTAGTCTGTCTTCATCGCAACGAAGGTCCCGCTCGATTGCAGCCCTTTAAGTTAACCTTTCAACACCGTCATCTGCTCAAACAAAATGATCAGGTTCAATGTGTTCAAAGCTGAGCACCCAATGTCGCTGTGCGAGCAATATATTGTTGTACCGCTGACGTCAGCGCGACAGTCCTTACAAAGTCCACGAACTGGCCAACCAAAAACGGCGCAAATCACTTTCCATGCTAACGTGGCCCCGCCTCCAAATGGGCATGCCGCCGCCAATATCACAATCAAGATCATACCATACTGTTGCAGTAAACACGACAAAATTGTTGTACCCCGGGTAGACGGCCTACGTACCGTTGCCGACTAAAATGTGATGTCCGCTCAACTTCACGAATGACGGAGGAAGCAGCAGTCACCGTTGCCCCGGCCCAAGATGTGCCTGTCCCCTCCTCAACCCACTAGATACAACGACGACCAAAACACCTTCAAGTCGGCAACACTAGCGAACAAGGATAACTGCCCCTCCCCCCCCCAACGAGTCTGGCAGGCGCTAACTAGTCTCTGTCCCGTCGTGGCCGATGACAAGCTCCTTCGACACCCCGCCGGGGGTAACCGCCTCGATCTTGAGGACGCCCTCCGACCTGAGCGTGAAGCCAACCTTCACGTCCACCTCCGCGCTGCCGTCCGCCGGGACCGCAGCCTCGTCGAACGCCAGGGTACCCAGCAGTCGCGCCGTCTGCGCGCCCCCCTCTCCCTCCGCCTGGCCGATCTCTACCACCTCCAGGTAGGCCTCCGTCGCGGGGCCCCCACCCCCCCCACCCCCCAGCTTGACGGTGGTGTTTCCCTGGGCAGGTAGGATGCACCCCTTGGAGATGATGGCGACGGCCGCGTCCTCGGCGGCGTTGCCTCCGCTCCCCCCGCAACGCACGCCGAGGCTCGCGGGGCACGTTCGCACGGCGACGGGCAGGGGCGGCGCTCCGGGCGCGACGAACGAGCCATGCTCCTGTGGTGGGCGGGGTGGAGCGGAATGGAACGGAGTGCAATCGAGGTTGTTACTACACACTGTGCAAGGAAGCGCAACGATTCTTCGCTGTCAAGCTTACATTGAATGTTCTGTCAGAGAGCCCGTCGATATCGTACAGTCAACGTTGTTGCAGCGTGTCAGTCAACAGGTCCAACGATTGATCGCACGGTGTAAAAGCATTTTTACATACAACGGCAAGGCCGTGGTTTAGCAATGACGCAGCGGCAGACGTGGGGGTGCGTGGGTGCAGGGTGCCTCCGAAGCTCAGAAGCTCCGCAGATCAGAAGCTTGAAAATGCGCATAAGACTACCACAGCATCCGCGAAAAAACACGAAAAAACCATCATATCATAGGCGACAGACTTGACCATCGCTAGATCGCGAAAAGTGAGAAGTGACAGCAGACGGCGTGCTCCCGTGACGGACAAAACGCAGCTTGTCACAGAAACCGCCGCGGTGGAGCTCACTGTCCACGGGCAACCTACTGCACCGGCAAACACGCCATCACAGAGCGCAGCATCGGAATCCACCTGCAGCAGGAAGGCCTGTGTTGTTGCGCCGATAGCCACGGCCTCGTCCGGGAAAAGGCCCGCTTCGAAGTGCGTCCCTGCCGGGAAGGTAGCCTTAACTGAAGAGTTCACCTTCGGCATCTGCGTGATTCCTGGTGGATTGCGAAAAGGGCAGCAGAGTGCGTCCAGCATTTGGCAACGGATGTTGGTGAGGGAGCTGGAAGTAGGTTAGGTATGTACTTGTGAGTAACTTCCCTTCGCACCCGACATGCAGGGCTTTGGCGGAGGTTTGGGGAAAGACAACAGCAGTGTCATCTGTACTCAGCAACGGGCGTGCTCGTGAAGTATTTCTATGTGCAACGGAGCAAACGGCGTCGCTTAGAGCTTCTGCGTGCACGCCCGTAGGACGCGTGTCTGATAGCCAACCACATCAGCCAGAAGTCATGACTTGCGATGCCAACGCCACTCGCGTCTACCCACACATGAGTCAGCACTGTTCAACCTACAGATCAGGAACGATGCCGCCATGAACATATGAACATACGCAGCGTGACCTACAATAGGCTTCCTCCCCCGAGTGTTCGTTTTGATCTACTGTACCTACGATAGCATAGCTAGCGGTGATTGAGCTCCCCGTGGTCGACCAACAAAGACACACACCTTGTCACGACCCCCACCCCAGCCGGTGTCAATCGAATGTAGTCGGACTATTCAATTTGTCTCAATAGTGTGAATAGTGCCGGGTTTCCGATGGAAGGCCGGCAACATCCCTTGGTACTACTATGCGGCTTTAATCAGGGACCAGTCAATATTGCAAATAGGGCTGGGGCACTCCTGCTAAGGTATATTTCCTTGGGAAATAATGTGTACAGCACGTGCCATGTCCATTATCGAAAACCACACCGCTGCTTTTCCTTCCGTGTTCTATGCATAGCAATCACCACCGCTCACCGCCGGCCAATAGCACAGTGTCCACCGCGTCCGTTGCCATTCCCGCCTCCGCCAGCGCCTTAGAGATTACCCCTCCCGCCGCCTTGTACAGGTCGAAGCAGAGGTCCTCGAAGCGCGTGCGGGAGATCTTCACGTTCATGTCGCACCCCTCGTGCGCGGCCTCGATGTACACGTCCGCCTGGGCCGACGCGGACAGGGTGCGAACAGCCTCTTCGCAGGCACGAGTTACCTGAAAAGGAATAAAGAAAGAAGGAAGGAACCATACGTTGGGATTTTCGTCAAGTCGGAGCAAGCACAAGAGGTTGACGCCCGTGGGGTAATATAATACTTCGAGTAAGGGCGAACATACAACCGTTGTGTATCCAAGAAAGAAAAAATGGTGAGGTTGTGTTGGCTGAGTTCACCATCATGAGAATGAATTCCAAGGCGCAATAGGGTTTGAAAAGGAGGGCCGCATTGCTGTAAGGGCGTTTATAGGGAAGGCTTTCCACGCGTAGAGCGCTGTTGTACAGAGCCAGAAGGCGCGCTAAGTACAGAGGGGGATCCATCTATTGTATGCATACGTGTTGCGACATTCTCGCACATACTCCGCATACATCACCTACGGCATCTTCCTCGTAAAGTCCACACATGGAAGGAACAAGCACAGCAGCAAACTCTACCAATGAATTCACATTCAATAGTGAAAAGCACTCCCACGGCTTAAGCGGTTTGGTGCAAACGATTGCGCTACGTGCACAAACGACACAGGAGGTGGGTGAAAGTGTACATATCAGCGACGGAGATGATGCGAATCTTGCATCTGGGCGAGGCCGGCATGGCACAGCCCTCACACGGTGCGCAACAAATCTGCCCAATGAGGTTCTTGGGGTCTGTTTACCGTCTTACTCTCGCATGTGACAATCATCATGGCGACACGCAACCGCAGCAAACTCTGCCGTAGATGCGAACACAACAATTCCACTACTATTAATAGCAGCTCTCGGCTCAAAGTTCCAGAACCAGAACAAATCCCAACCACGACACGCGTAAAATACGACGTACCTTGAGCACAGATCTCTTGCTCTCAAAAATGTCCAGTCCACCAGTCCGACGCTTGAAGTCCTTGGCGCAAAACGCCACCAATCTTTCCGTGAAAACCCCTCCCCCGACGGAAGCGTCGGACGCCCTCCCCACGATGCTGAGCACGCCGTCTGTGCGCTTCAGCACCGTGGACTCAACCCCGCCGCCCCCCCAGTCAACAACCAAGATATTCCGTTTTGGCCTGGTTAGAGACGGGACATACCGCAACAAAGGTGAGGGAGGGATATTGGCAATAGCAACACGAGCAGGAAGAGCACCTGCGCCAAGACTGCAAATGGTGACGTAGACGGTGAGAACCAAGCGATGTACAGACAGGCGTTGTGCCGTCCAAGTCCAAGTTCGTGGCTTTCGTGCACGAGCGACGGCGCGGCTAACGCGCCCATTTTCACAGCAACGCAGTACTAACAATGTTGACGGTGTGGTTGCACTCAAGCAAGGTGGGCATGGGATGCCTCAGCGGTGGGGGTCATGATGGGCACAACAAGTTGTTCATGTGCGAGTAGCTTGCAGTGTGTCCTGGCACATGCAGCTACACCGGGTGCCATCAAACTTACGTGTAGTCGGGGATGGGGAGGATATCATGATATCATCAGATAAAGGCTTGAACTGCGTTGCAGACGTTTCAGGCACAAGGCGAATTTCGCTGCGGCCGTTCGCCCCTTAAAATGCCACCGCATCCCGGTTGACAGGATCGCAAAAAACGACGACGAAAGCAGCAATACCATGAATCGAAACCTTTCTTTTCGCATACACCGACGGTACACGTGGTACAACATACCGCGGTAAACAGGTGAACAAATCGCACGTACGCTACGGCTGCCTGGAGATACGATTGTGCATGGCAGCAACACTCACTTGAACTCCCCTCCTTCCCGACTTGTCCCAACCATTTCGTGGTCGGGTCTATCCAACCCGTACGCGATGGCGGCCGCAACCGGGTCCGACACCACCAGGGAGAACGGTAGCCCGACCTGCTTCCCCACCGTACGGAGGGCCTCCCTCTGCTCTGGGCCAAAGCCTGCCGGCACCGAGATAACGCACCGCCCCACGGGCTCCCCGGCGAAGGCTTCGGCGATGTCCTTGAGGTGCTCGAACAGGTAGCGGCAGAGGGTCTCGGCCCCCACGACCTTTTCCTCGCCCTTGTGCTTGACTGTTACTCGGGCCTCGCCCTTCGAATCCACGCTGCATCTGAAGGGGGACGACTCTGAGGAGCGGTGGCGAAGAAAGGCAGGGCGGGGGGAATGGATTTGTCGTTCGGGTGTGTGTGTGCGTGGAAGGCCGTTCGATTAGTAAAGAAGCGGGAGAGGAAGGGCTGTGCCGTTGCTGGGAATCGAAGGTCTGCGAAACTTACGCCCATGACGCTGTACCATGCGCGATTCTACGTTTGAAGCGGAAGTTTTCGTATTGGAAATGAACACACGTTGACTATGGATGGCCGCTGCTGTGGTGAAGTGCATGCTTGACTGCCACCTTTTTGTACAGCAGACTTGGAGCACGTGCGCTGACTTGATAAGATAGGCCGGGAATATGGAGACATTTCTGGTCAGCGCGCTCACGTGCCCACGAAAAAGATAAACCAAACACCGGTTCAAGAAACAGCGCCGCTGTCGTGCAGAGTGAAGAGAGAGAGGTCTGTGTGTGTTGCAATCCAGTGTGGTAAAGTACTCTTTAGAGGTCAGGCAAAGCTGTTCCGTAAACACGCACCAGCCAGGCGCATGAAAGGATAGGCTGCACAGGGAAAGGTAACTTGGTAAAATGTACTAACCTTTTGCTCATACGTTACTTGCCTTCTTTTTTATCGCGAAAGGAATTCAGCACCCTCGTTGTCGACCAAGGAGTCGATTTTAGGGTTGATCTTCACAACAATCTCAGCAACAGGAGTGTGTGTGTGCACCAGAGATAAGGGACCCTTCTCTGCAGATCGTGCCAGCAAACACAGCAGTATGTTGTTGTTGTCTTCACATTAAAAACCGTCCCGATCTCTCTCTACCCAGTACCTTCGTATGTCCGTACTGATCAAACAATCGACGCGGTCGATTCCCGTGGTCGCAGGCTAACTTACCCTAAAAAGGTACACTCAAACAAACTGGCCCGAGGGGTCCGCAAGTCAATAGAAATCAACGGCAGATATTCTGGAGTCCTCCATTCCCTCTGCGCGCTGTATGCGAGGTAACACTTGAGACCAAGAGTCACCATCACGGGGCGGAGAGGATGAGGTACCACCCCCTTGGTTCAATCTTGGTACTTCACAACGCAAGCAGAGACAAGGCNCTGGCCCGAGGGGTCCGCAAGTCAATAGAAATCAACGGCAGATATTCTGGAGTCNAAACAATCGACGCGGTCGATTCCCGTGGTCGCAGGCTAACTTACCCTAAAAAGGTACACTCAAATGAAATGGCCCCGAGGGGTCCGCAAGTCAATAGAAATCAACGACAGATATTCTGGAGTCCTCCACTCCCTCTGCGCGCTATGCGAGGCAACAACTGAGACTAGGAGTCACCATCACGGGCCGGAGAGAATGAGGTACACCCCCTTGGTTCAATCTTGGTACTTCACAACGCAAGCAGAGACAAGGCCATTGGGCGCAGAAAAAGAGAGAAAGACAAGAAAATTCAAGGAAACATATGAGAAAATGAAAAGAAAAAAAGGAAAAGAGCGAGGACAAAAAGGGACCAGGCCGAAAATAACAAGAAATAAGAGAGAAACAAGGCACACGGTGGTGAGACCACTAACGAACAAGCAAACACGCCAACATGGCCACCAACCAGCGATACATTGTAATGGTACGTCATCACTAGTGGGAGGTTGGTGCAACGGTGCAGCGTTGGGGGGGGGGGGGTTTGGCTAAAAGAAATTCAATCCGGCACGTATCGCGCCACTCGGTCCGTCTCTTCTCGTTTGCTTTCTTCCCTCGCCGTCTCGTCCGTCTCCTGCCCCCCTCCCGCCCCATTGGTCGGTGGCTTGTGGTTTCGTTTGAGCGCCCGTTGTCGGCTGGCAGTATGTGCAACAGCTCCAAACACTTCGAAAAGATGAGATGTTGCTTGATGGTCAGGATGACCGCAAAATTGACGTCCTTCGATGAATTTCACAACCTTTAGAGTCACGTGTGTTTGCAGTAACATACTACCAGCCCCCCCCCCCCCCCCCCCCCCCCCCCCCCCCCCCCCCCCCCCCCCCCCCCCCCCCCCCCCCCCCNGTGATATCCTACGTCATAGTGAGGCTGGCCACTACCACCGAAATTTTGAAAAACCCTAAACACCGCCGTTCTCATCCTTGCCTCTCTCGAGCATGCTGCACATGATACAGCGGCCGATTGCCTTCTTGGCAGAGAGGGTCTGCACGTGGCAACGAATAGTCCAAAACACGGCCCGTTCAAAATCGACCCGAGACAAAGAGAGTGGTACAGGTGCCACTTCTCCACTTGTGGGGGAGAGACGTACACGTACATCACTCGGTGGTATCATCATCAGTGGCTGCGAGATCAGCGGTCGCTAGGGATGTCTAAACTTCTTGTACTCGTCGCGACAGCATTTGCTCGCCAGAGCCACTCACCCAGCATCGCCTTGATGCGAGGCTCTATCTGGTCGTGATTCTGCCCGACCATCCACTTGAAGCCAGTCACGGTGTTAGCCACGTTCTTGGGCATCTGCGACAGGGCAGCCTCCCCAACCAAGACTTCGCTGTCGGTGAAGGCTACCATTGTGGGAGTGGACCTCAGGCCATGGTGGTTCGCGATGACCTCTGGTCGTCCCTGATGCCACACACCGACATTGCAGTGCGTGCTGCCGAGATCTACACCAACAGCGACAGGCATAGCAACTACAGCAGGGGCAGCAAAACAGCGGAGACTGGTCGTGCTGAAATGGTGCCAGTCGGGGGGTTGCGCGGTTCGCTGCATGTTGTTTGCTGTCAGGGGGCGGGGAGGGGTGCAGAAAAAAAAGAAAATATGGTTCAGCGTGTGTGCGCTTCGGATCAATCATCCACCCAGCCCAAAACCCTGCCACTCTCTTGCCCGCTCTCCTGTGGCAACCCGAGAGCTCTGACGAATCTTGCTCAAGAGCCCGCACAGAGACCCCGCACCTCCTCGATACCCAGTAAAGGCGAGAGGGAAGAAAGAAGGCTTGGACAGCTCGGTTGTCCGCTTTTTTTCCCGCCGGCTTTTATCTCTCTTCGATCTGGTGCGCTTGCTACTTCTTCTCCCCTGTCGCTCTCAAGAGCTCCTCCCTCTCTCTCGAGAAAATGGACGTGTTGTCCGCGCTGTTGGCCGGGGACGATGACGATGGAGAAGGGCCACCATCGGCCTACGACGACGAAAGAGATAACATAGAGATAGACGTGGGAGAACCCGAAGAGGAAGAGGAGGAAGAGGAAGAAAACATGGAGTACCGCCCAGTGAAACGATCTCGGTCAGCAGCAGCAGCCGTCTCGCCGGACGTGCCGGGCGACGAAGGCGGCCGCAGGCGCGGGGGCAGCGGGGCGGGGGCCAGCAGCGGGCGGCTGAACGACCACGAAGAGTCCAAGGAGGTGATCGAGATACTCTCCGACGACGAGGACGCGCAGCCACCACCCGCTCGGAGCGAACTGTTCGAAGACGATATGAGAAACCGTCTCTCGGCCAACCTCGAAGTTGACGCCCCTGTAGCAGCAGCGCCCCTTTTTGAAGACGAGTTCTCAAATCATGTCGTAGGTGCTACTGCTGCTGACCTCCGTTCTCGCATGCCAGCGGGGGGAGGGGCGGCTAGATCGATCGAGCGTGCCGGCGCCGGCAGAGATCCGCGTGGTGGTTTGAAGGGCGGCGTGAAGATCGGGTTTTCGATGATGGCATCATCTGTTGCTGCGAGATCGCACGATCAGGAAATGCAGCAGACCGCTGCTGCGGCTACTGATCACGGCGGCGCGCCGGCGGCGGCCGCTGGCAGGGGCGACATCGACGTCGTCATGGGGGAGGGTAAGCCTTCGGTGGAGGAGAAGGAAGCTTCTACGCCAGCCAGCAACGGGTCGGCAGGATGGTTGGGAGGAGTCGTGGCCGCAGCAAAGGCAGCGGTGACTTCGACAATCAACCCGACGAGTGATGGTGATGTCGGGATCGGTGGGTCAACAGCAGCAGCAGCGGCGGCGGCTGCGGCTTCTCAAGAGTTGCCGCGGATTTTGGAATGCGCCGTTTGCTTCAATCCTCTGGCCGTGGCGGCGCTCTTCGCATGCGGCCATGGATCCTGCTGGGAGTGCGCTCACGACTGGTGTTCAAGGGTGAGCGCGTCTGTTGCTGCTGTCATCATTGCTCTGGGTTTCGTACCAGCCACAACAAGCGCACTGACCTGTGATGTAGTTTAGCTGTCAACCATGGTGCCCTCGACAGATCTCGACCCTCTTCTCCTACGACCAAGAGATTCCAGTCAGTCTTTTGAGGTGGTGGTGCACGTAGCTGGAATACATATGCTAAGGGGATCTGTGCAGGCGTTCCTTTGTTTCCGTGTAGACCATGCCACTTCACCCTGTACTACTACACGCGCGGCATGAGCGTGTTGGCCCTTTGGTCATGGTGGCCTGAAGCTCGGCACAACATCAGCACGCCACTCATCAGTAGAACTCAGTAGACACAGACACACATTCCGAAGGTTGTTTTCCGAACGTCGATCGATATCCTTCGCTAAACTGCTGCCTGCGGCCTGCGGCGCATATCTTGCCGACAAAGTGCGATGCTGACCCGTGACCAAGCAAGGCATCATGCAAGATATTGTCGAGGACATCTCAGAGTGTCTTGCCCGCTGATCGTGCGGATTCAATGAGAGACAGAAGAAAGCTTTCGGTGCAGCACATACATACGCCTAGCGTTACTCGCGTGTGGTCCTTGTTGGCCGTTCGAAAGATGCACACATGCACGAAGAATTCGCCGCTCATCTCGCACGACCCTTGGTAACCATGTATTTTCGGAGACAGCACCCTTTCGTGTGGCACAAACGTACATAGTACCCCATCGGGGACATTTCTTGTGGTAGAAAAACATTTCGCCTGGATGATACAAGAAAATATATTGATACAGCAATACTTGTAGTACATACGCACATTCCACGTAAGCCCGGCCATAATGGACAACGACGTTGACGTTTCTGCTGCATCATCTATTTTGTCGATAAATTTGTTGTTTCACGGTTATTTCCTGTATGCTGTACGTGTGTGGACACGCTCTCATTATTAGAAAGTACAAACACTCAGAAATCCACTTCCTGAAAAGACTTCACCACATCCCTTCCGACTGAGGTTATATCTCGAACGGGTAGTCGTTCTGTGAGGTTATGTTTACTTTATAAGAACATTCAGGAAGACTACCCGTTCATTTCGTCGTTTGAAGTTCCGCCTGCCTTTCCGTGGAAGTTGTGAGCTAGGATAGGAGTCCAAGCAGGCTGTAGGAGATGTCTCCAACAAGATCCAGAATCTAAAAGTGATGATGTAATCCTTTTCTTTTTCGGCTTCGAACGTCCCACACGTGTAGTCCAAATCCTCTCTTCCCAGATTGTGTGTTGGGGACGAGAAGAACCTGTGTGTGGGGGTTCACTGGTTCTTGGTTGTCCTGCGTTCCACTTTCGTTCACCCAGAACACGACGGCACAAAGCTCTGCCGCCTGCTGACTGAAGAGTCGCTCGTGTAGATGATTTTTTCGGAGACCATGCTCCCCTGTTGTGGCGGTCGATGCAGATGAAGCGCCCACCAATTTAGTGCGTGCTTGGCTGTCTGGCTTGACCCGTCACGCAGATGCAGCGGCGCGTTCATGTGACATTGGGTTGGCGTGCCGAGAAACACTACGATTGTTTTTGTTGCCATCCGGTCTATCATCGGTGCTGCTGCTCATGTCTGCCTTCCATGACGTTCGGTCTTGACATCACCCAACAGCAGTAGTGGCCTGTGTGCAAGGGTATAGTTATCGCATATGCATGCGGTACAGCAGCGCCAAGGGAATTGGCGGCCTTGATGTACCGCCCGGCATTTTTCCGTTGAGTTTTTTTTTTTTTGTCTTGACTTCAAATCAGCGTTCACAGCACTTGTGCCGTTTACTCCAACCCGCGGTCACACGGAAGAGCCCCTCTCTACCCTCCCCTCCTGCGGTACCTTGCCTTTGATTTTTAATGCGAGAATAGTTCAGCACTCTCTTCCCTCTTGTGCAGACACGAACTAGCGCTATCCACGAGGCCAGGAGCGGAAGCGAGAGGAAAACTCACGTTGCAAGAAAAGTCCGCTTACGCCAGGATTGGAACCCCTGACCTGACCTGTAGAAGGTTTCGAGGATACCAACAAGACCACCGGGTCGACCGGCGTATGAGACAACTTGAATATTCAATCACGCGATTTCGCCGACCTTGTAGAGGGCGACCGGCCTTCTTATGCGGGAACCACTTCTGCTCCTATGCGCATTGCCGGATCTATTTTATAGTAAGATATCCTATTATATCCTAGGCGTAGGTCACGCCACGCCCAGGAAGGACTCTCTTCAATCATCACTCGCTTTCTGCTGCTCGGTGAAGCATGCGAGTTACACCATCACCACTCCTAGGTGACCAGAAAATATGCCATATTTCGCAGTTGCCTAGGTGGCGTAAGCGGGCGACATCCGCTGGCCCACCGCTGTACTGACAGAATCGAGAGAGATTATCCTGCGGCCGAGAGAGCGACTAGAGAGAGAGATAGAGTGGTAGCAGTCGATCTTCTCGGTGTTTTTTTTATCATTGTTTCCCGCACATTCTTCTCATTGAAATGAATCATTTCCTTGGAAGGAACTCACCGCTTGTTCCTGAAACGAAAGACACGCCCATTTCCTTTCTTTCCGCGGTTGTTTGCTGTTTATGTTTCTACCTGCCCACCTGCAGGAGACGAGCTCAACGATGGACTGCCCGACCTGTCACGTATCAGTTCCAAGAAGCGACTTCCGACGATGTGTCGTGCTCGATGAGGTGTGTTGCACGTATGTTGGCGTTGTACCATGCCAAGTTTTGGTCGACAGTTTGGTCACCTTTCGCTATGTTTTGACGCACTTTAAAATATTCGCGGTCCTACGGGTGTGTGCCCATTCAGTAACATACTAGTATGCATAGTATAGTGTCATGAAGAGAGCTTGTTGCTTTTGATTCCAGCGAGAAGAACGCGGGGAGTGCGTCACAACCGTCTGAGGGGGGCCAGAAGTCACCAACTCTAAGTAACTCGACCAGACCCTGGGTCTTCGGAGGGCGGTGTCACATGGAACAGCCCTTGCAGCCATGGCAGGCGGTACTTTTGGTGGAAGACGCAGGAGGCTTACTGTTGGTACAACATGTAGCGTCGCGCTTGTGAACGATGGTCACTGATGTAGTTGCCGTGTGTCCCATGGTCTGTCGGCGAACAGGCTGTTGTGTCTGGAACGAGTGAAGTTCTCGGCCATGCCCCCCCCCCCCCCCCCCCCCCCCCCCCCCCCCCCCCCCCCCCCCCCCCCCCCCCCCCCCCCCCCC